CATGTGCATGCACACGCGTGCAAGTGCAGGCAGCCTTCATGCACTGTTTGCACACCGGCGGGCAGGCAGGCGTGTGCACACGTGCGAGGAAGCCCCCAGTTGTGCACGCGCAGGTGCACTCCTGCGTGTGCACACGGCCACACACACGCACGGCCGCTCGTGCAGCCCTGTTGTCACCCCGCAGACAACCTGTCCTACATCGAGCACATCTTCGAGATCTCCCGCCGCCCTGACCTGCTCACCATGGTGGTGCAGTACCGCACCCAGGTGCTCAAGATCTCCGAGGAGGACGAGGTGGACACCAAGCTCACCCGCATCCCCAGCGCCAAAAAGTACAAAGGTGAGACTCCCTCCCTCGCCCTGGGGCAGTGCCAGGGACACCTCTGTCCCCAAGAGCTGTACCAGGACCCCCAGGCAGCACCAAGGACCCCTCCTGTCCCCAAGGGCTGTACCAGGACCCCCAGGGCAGTGCCAGGGACCCCTCTGTCCCCAAGGGCTGTACCAGGACCCCCGGGGCAGCGCCAGGGACCCCGCTGTCCCCAAGGGCTGTACCAGGACCCCCGGGGCAGCGCCAGGGACCCCGCTGTCCCCAAGGGCTGTACCAGGACCCCCGGGGCAGCGCCAGGGACCCCGCTGTCCCCAAGGGCTGTACCAGGACCCCCGGGGCAGCGCCAGGGACCCCGCTGTCCCCAAGGGCTGTACCAGGACCCCCGGGGCAGCGCCAGGGACCCCGCTGTCCCCAAGGGCTGTACCAGGACCCCCGGGGCAGCGCCAGGGACCCCGCTGTCCCCAAGGGCTGTACCAGGACCCCCGGGGCAGCGCCAGGGACCCCGCTGTCCCCAAGGGCTGTACCAGGACCCCCGGGGCAGCGCCAGGGACCCCGCTGTCCCCAAGGGCTGTACCAGGACCCCCGGGGCAGCGCCAGGGACCCCGCTGTCCCCAAGGGCTGTACCAGGACCCCCGGGGCAGCGCCAGGGACCCCGCTGTCCCCAAGGGCTGTACCAGGACCCCCGGGGCAGCGCCAGGGACCCCGCTGTCCCCAAGGGCTGTACCAGGACCCCCGGGGCAGCGCCACGGACACCGCCGTCACCAAGAGCTGCACC